CAGTGGGTGGGTGGGCTGCATCCCCAACCCTACTGGGAGCCCACCACCAGTTGGGGGGACACTGTGGGGTGGGTGGGCTGTGTCCCCAGCCCCACTGGGAGCCCACCAGCCCAACTGGGAGCCCCCCACCAGCCCAGTCCACCCCAACTGGGAGCCCCTGCATCAGCCTAGTCCAACCCCCCCAGTGCCAGTGGGTGGGTGGGCTGCATCCCCAGCCCCACCGGGAGCCCACCAGTCTACTCCAGTCCTTCCAGTGCCAGTGGGAGGGTGGGCTGTGAGCCCACCACCAGCTGGGAGGACACTGTGGGGTAGGTGGGCTGCATCTCCAACCCCACTGGAAGCCCACCACCAGTATGGTCCAGCCGCCCCAGTACCAGTGGGTGGGTGGGCTGCACCCCCAGCCCTACTGGGAGCCCACCAGCCCCCTCCAGTCCCACTGGGAGCCCACCACCAGTCCACTCCAGTCCCCCCAGTACCAGTGGGAGGGTGGGCTGTGAGCCCACCACCAGCTGTGAGGACACCGTGGGGTGGCTGGGCTGCAACCCCAGCCCCACCAGGAGCCCACCAACCCAACTGGGACCCCACCACCAGCCTAGTCCAGCCCCCCCAGTGCCTGTGGGTGGGTGGGCTGCATCCCCAGCCCCACCGGGAGCCCACCAGCCCACTCCAGTCCTTCCAGTGCCAGCGGGAAGGTGGGCTGGGAGCTCACCACCAGCTGGGAGGACACTGTGGGGTGGGTGGGCTGTGTCCCCAGCCCCACCAGGAGCCCACCAGTCCAACTGGGAGCCCCTGCACAAGCCTAGTCCAGCCCCCCCAGTGCCAGTGGGTAGTTGGGCTGCATCCCTAGTCCTACTGGGAGACCACCAGCCCCCTCCAGCCCCACTGGGAGCCCACCACCAGTCCCCTCCAGTCCCCCCCAGTACCAGTGGGTGGGTGGGCTGTGTCCCCAGCCCCACCAGGAGCCCATCACCAGCCGTGGTGTGGGTGAGTTGTGTCTCCAGCCCCACCGGGAGCCCACCAGCCCACTCCAGTCCTTCCAGTGCCAGTGGGAGGGTGGGCTGTGAGCCCACCACCAGCTGGGGGGACACTGTGGGGTGGGTGGGCTGTGTCCCCAACCCTACTGTGAGCCCACCACCAGCTGGGAGGACGCCATGGGGCTGGGGGAACACCGAGGGGTGGGTGGGCTGCGTCCCCAGCCCCACCAGGAGCCCACCACCGGTTGGAGGGATGCCGTGGGGCTGGGAGAGGGGAGGATACTGGGTTGGGGGGGGGGCTGTCGGAGAAGGCCTCCACGCAGTACTTGGAGATGCAGTAGCCGCCGCCGTTGGCCGAGAGGCGGCCCAGGACGCTGGAGGTGTTGACCACCCGGCCCCGCGCCCGCTTCAGCAGCGGCAGGAACTGCAGCGTCACCTCGATGGCCCCGAAGGCGTTGACGGCCATCACCCGGCGGTAGTCCTCCAGCCCCATCCACTCCGTGGGGCCGATGGGGTTGGCCACCCCCGCGTTGTTCACCAGCCCAAAGAGACCTTGAGGGGGTGGTCAGGATGGTGGCCACCATCCCCTCTGGGGTGTCCCTGCCCCATGGTGCCTCCCCCAGCACTCCCTGGTGGGACCTTCCTCTCCATCCTGCCCCACAGCACCTCGTAGGCCCTCTCCAGGGACCCCCATCTGCCCCACAGCACCTTGTAGGCCCTCCCGGCCCCTCTCCAGGGACCCCCATCTGCCCCACAGCACCTTGTAGGCCTTCCCAGCCCCTCTCCAGGGACCCCCATCTGCCCCACAGCACCTTGTAGGCCCTCCCGGCCCCTCTCCAGGGACCCCCATCTGCCCCACAGCACCTTGTAGGCCCTCCCAGCCCCTCTCCAGGGACCCCCATCTGCCCCACAGCACCTTGTAGGCCCTCCCAGCCCCTCTCCGGGGACCCCCATCTGCCCCACAGCACCTTGTAGGCCCTCCCAGCCCCTCTCCAGGGACCCCCATCTGCCCCACAGCACCTTGTAGGCCCTCCCAGCCCCTCTCCGGGGACCCCCATCTGCCCCACAGCACCTTGTAGGCCCTCCCAGCCCCTCTCCAGGGACCCCCACCTGCCCCACAGCACCTTGTAGGCCCTCCCAGCCCCTCTCCGGGGACCCCCATCTGCCCCACAGCACCTTGTAGGCCCTCCCAGCCCCTCTCCAGGGACCCCCACCTGCCCCACAGCACCTTGTAGGCCCTCCCAGCCCCTCTCCAGGGACCCCCATCTGCCCCACAGCACCTTGTAGGCCCTCCCAGCCCCTCTCCGGGGACCCCCATCTGCCCCACAGCACCTTGTAGGCCCTCCCAGCCCCTCTCCAGGGACCCCCACCTGCCCCACAGCACCTTGTAGGCCCTCCCAGCCCCTCTCCGGGGACCCCCATCTGCCCCACAGCACCTTGTAGGCCCTCCCAGCCCCTCTCCAGGGACCCCCACCTGCCCCACAGCACCTTGTAGGCCCTCCCAGCCTCTCTCCGGGGACCCCCATCTGCCCCACAGCACCTTGTAGGCCCTCCCAGCCCCTCTCCAGGGACCCCCACCTGCCCCACAGCACCTCGTAGGCCCTCCCAGCCTCTCTCCGGGGACCCCCATCTGCCCCACAGCACCTCGTAGGCCCTCCCAGCCCCTCTCCAGGGACCCCCACCTGCCCCACAGCACCTTTCTTGCCCCAGAGCCCCTTGTCCTTCACCTTGGGACGCTCTGGTGGGACCCCCCTGTACCTCCTACCCAGGGACCTGTCCTGCCCTACATGCCCACTATGGAGGTCCACGTCTTGCCCTATAGCACCCCTTGGGGGTCCCGTCCTCTCACCCCACAGCGTCTCTTCTGGGACCGCCCATCCTGCTCCTCACCAGCCCCTTCTGGGGTCCCATCCTGCCCCCCCCAGCTCCTCCCTGGGTCCCGTCCTGCCCCCCAACACCCTCTGTGGGACCCCATGTCTCCACCTGCACCTCCCTGGGACCCTAACCTGCCCCATAGCATGTCCCCTGGGACCCCATGTCCCCCCCGGCACCTCCCCGGGTCCCCATCCTGCCCCATAGCACCTTCCCAGGGAGCCCATGTCCCCCCTGTACTTCCCTCAGGTCCCATCCTGCCCCCCAGCACCTCTCTGGAACCCCATCCTGCCCCATAGCTTGTCCTCTGGGACCCCATGCCCCCCCCC